ATTTTAGTGGAAAATCCTCTATATATGGTTAATCCAACATCTAATGTCATTGATGCAAGTCTCGGAATTGAGCATCCATATTTCCTGAAACCAAAGTATTAAATTAATGTTCGTATAGATATTTTTTTTCTAAGCAACAGACTAATTATTTATAAATTGCTTTATTTAAGTTTTTATTCTTTGTATGCAAGCATTGTATTTTTATGTTAATATGTATATTCTTAAAATTCGTAAACGTTACTTCATTTCAATTAATCAACATAAAAAGCCAAATTATTATGATCTTTTGGATTAGAAATATTTCTAAAATTTATTAAAGAATTCATCATTAGAAAACTTCTTATTGACCAATTAAATTGTAGCGTTGAATTTTAATTTCGCTAAGAAAACTTTTTTACCAGTATGATTAACTCTTTATTAATTTTTTATGTTGACGACGCCTTTACATAATTATTTATACATATTAATTTATACACCAACTGCATATTTTGACTCTTTCCTATAATAGAATATATTCTCTAATGCAAAAATGCGTCAAGAATATTTACTCCTTTGCTTTTTTTGTAAGAACAATAGTTCATAAAATCTGTTTTGCTGAAAATCCCTAAACAAAGAATCAATTTTAAGCGCTCCACAATTGCACCTTTAATCAGAAAATGTGTCAGAAAAAGTGCATTATATATGCAAAGCGGACTGAAAACAAATTTCTATTTGGATTGACTTCCATAACTTTATGCAGACATTTCATCGCAAAACGGAACGTCCTTGCTTTATTGTTTTCTAGTGAAAAAAAATAGTTAAATAAGTAAACCATAAAACGAGAAAAAAACGAATATCTTTAATAAATCTTTTTAATAAATGAGCATTTTAATTACATAATTTTATACAATAATCTTTAAACTTACCAATTTCCCTTGCCGATTTGGTATTCATATTGCTTGTATTTTCTTTAGTTATAAAATAGCAGAAACAGCGCTCAAAGGTATGTACTACAAAGTTTGTAAAGTTTATGTAATAGCTATGAATAACAATATATTATTTAGTAATTGCAGTCTCGCTCTCGTTCTGTTAATTAGCGTTGCTATGGAATGTAGCTTCTGTAACTGTTATAGGATGGTATTTAAGACGAATGTAGAATTATTTTGTACTTTTTGTATACTTTCTTGCCTAAAACTGTCTTGTAATTTTTAAATCTGAAATTCATTCTTGCTCAATTTTTCGTATACTGAAGATAATAACTGTTCTGCAGAATCATAATATATACACACAGATATAAGACGTATTCATACACATAAATTTATATGTAAACTAAATACAAAAATATAATATTACATTCTAATATCAAAAATTCAAAATTTATGTGTAATTTTATAAATCTTACATCACTTTTTGTGATACAATTATGAAAATATGTATAAAGTAGTAGATAAATACACATACAATATACAATAACCCGCAATATATGAGAAACTACTTTATAATTAAACCAATATATGTATGTATGTAACCAATATACGTATATAATTTTATACAATAATCTTTAAATTTAACAATTTATTTTGTCTTAACGTCACTCATCTCGTTTTCCATCCTGTTTAAATTATAAAATAGCAATAGCAAAGACAAAGTATGTGCTACAAAGTTCGCAAATGCTAATTAGCAGCTTTGATTCTAATATAATTTAGTAATTGCCGTCTCGCTCGCTTATTGTTAATTAACGTTGCTATATTGCTTATAATTTTTACAATGATAATTGAGACACATGTGAGATTATTGTATCATTTTTATTATCTTCTATTACTTGAGATTCTTTGGGATAATTTTGAAATCCTTTTTTGTTCTATTCTTCGTAGACTGAAAATAACTGGTTCATTAAAATCATAAAAGATATACACACAACGCAAACACTTTCTTATACAGATACATATAAAAGAAAAACGTCAACACAAATCATTTATTATTAATGTCTATAATTCAAATTTATTTATAATTATATAAATATGTCATCTTACATTTCGTAATATGATTATGAAATACATTATAAAAATATAGTGTAATAAGAAAAAACACACATACTGTATATATATATATATGTACTGTATATATATATATATATTATATATTTGAATTAAATGAAAAATTATGTAATTATATTCTTATGTACATTACTGTCTTAATTGTGCATTTTTTTATTTAATTCAATATTTTTTTACTCAATTTTTTAACATTACATTAATGTTTGAACTTTTATCAGTTTGATTTCTCATATTAAAATCAAATTGATTAGCATAATTACACTTTTAATATATATTTCATGCGTCACTTTTTGTAAACTACATATAATATTTAAAACTAATATTTACATACAAAATTATATATAGAACATTACGTAAAGAAATATTTATGTTATATGTATAATTATGTATAGGAAAGTCAATCAGCAATATATGAAATTATATACAAAGTAATAAAATGATATATGTATATATATAAATAATTATATATACAATTATATATATATACGTAATTTTATATACTTTTTATATAATTATACATTATGACAAATAATTACATACAAAAAATTATTATCAGAATACACAATAAGTATAAATATAAAAAAATATTTATACATATTTATAAATATATTTATATATATGAATATGTATGTACATATGTGTATCCTTATATATTTTTAGTGGTTTATAAGATATACATATTGCCACAAAATAATATCAATGCTTACTAATGTAAGTTATGCTTCATCACCTTATAATGAGTAAGTTAAAAAGACAAAACCATTTTGCTCGGCACTATTACAAGTGCCGACATAGAGGATTTCTTCTTGTAGTGTGTCATAGATCAGCCAGAGAAAAAATTCATTGCAATTTACGCTGATTACTTCGGTGTTTGCAAAGGAGTCTTCATTCCTGTGCATCAAGATCATCGAGACCACATTGCTCCCATTTTTTGACATATCTACAATTTCAAATTTGGGTTTATCGATAGAATTTCAAGAAGACTCGTCGATCCGCCGCTTTTTGCTTGAGGAGCAGCCTGATGTACTTGGCATATCCGCCGATATAGGTTTAGTAACAAGCTCGGTATTATTACAACTGCCAACATAGAGGACGTCTAAATTTGTGTTAGCGATCATCCAGATGACTGGATTATTGCAATTTATGTCGACAATATTGGAGTTCGAAGGAGGGTCTTCTCCTTTGCTGCTAATCAATGTTGTCGCATGCACGACCACTTCTTCATTTGTGGCCTTAATGTGAGAACGATGCACGGCATTGCGGATTTGCACACGGGAGTTATTCCCAAATATAATATCCAGTTCGATCATTTCGGACGTTAATAATGGTATATTTAATGTTTCGAAAAGCTCACGGATTGTCAGATCTTTCTCCAACTCAAAAGGCAAAGCATGCATAGAATTTGTATCAGTTACTACCCGACGTGGTACGTTAGATTTTAACACATTGCGCAGTTCTCTGACTCCTTGCATGGTCGACAATCTTTGGGTGAAATTTGAAAGGTCAGCGTGGCTGATGTTCTGAGTGATCCTCCAAGCTGAAAATAAGTTTGTTAAATTAACAAATATTTAGTTTAAATGGATCATTTATTTGAAACAAATAAATATTTATTTGTTTTAAAAGGATTTTCTTATATCAAATAAGTATTTTTTATATCAAATATTTAATTGTTTCAAATAAATGATATATTTAGATGTATTAAATTAAATATTTGTTAATTTAACAAACCTGAATTTTTATACCACTTGTCGGTTGACGAAGCAGGTGCGAAGATAAATAGCGACAAATTTGATTTTATGTCAAATAATTCGGTCACGTGAATGTCCAATGGTGGATAAAAATCTAAGAACAATATTAAAAATGTAGATAACTGTATAAATATAGTTCTGATATAAAAATCCCGAAATACATTTGTTCTTTACGATTAGAACATTATACATTTTAAAAATCCATATTACATTAATTTCGCTAAAGGAAACCTTTCTTTCTCGTAAACACCATAAACTTTTTATTAATCTTTTATTTTGGCGGAGTTTACACAATTATTTTTGTTATTTTACACAAAAACTGTAAATTTTTACTCTTGTCAATGATAGAATACATTATATGTAATGAGAAAAATGCGTTAGTAATATTTATCTGTCTGTTATTTTATAATAGCAATAATATTACATTCCGAAATAAATGTTTTTTACATAAACACATTTTGATAAAGCGTTCAACAATAAAAATGGAGTAATTGTCAAAGCGGTAAAAATTAGAATTACATTTTTAACAATTTTAAACAGAGAGAGAGAGAGAGAGAGAGAGAGAGAGAAACATTTGATTACAATTATATTTTTCTTTTTTTCATATTTAATGTTTCAATTCAATAATTATTTACATTTTCATTAATATAATGATATAATATAAAGATATTAATTGAGTTTTTTTGACAAATTCCAACTGTTACATGTTTCTTACAGCAGCTGTTAAGCATCAAACATCTTTATCATATTACGTCAGAGACGACAAAATTTTACAAAGTATAATATTAATATTTTAACTTTTATTATAAACCCGGACAGAAATTTATTGAAAATTAAATGTAGAGGTAGTGTTTCTTTTAAAAAACATAATATATTTTATTTAGAGATAATAAAAAGGTTACATTATAAAAAATTTTACACTATGTATGCCAAATAAAGTGAAAATGTATGATAATTATTTTAATTGTTAGAAACTTACAATTTAAAGTATAAAAATATTTTTATACGTCTTTTATAGTTTATATTTCTTTATAACTACGTTTACATAAGCGATCTAAAACTAATATTATCTACAAGTTATCTAGATAAACCATCTTATAATTGTTATCTTTTATATATATATATTTTAAACAAAATTATCTTTACACATCTTATCTAAGTTAATATTTTATCTCATTTTTATTTAGCTAATTTTATAAAATCATCTAAGCACAATATAGATTATATATGTTAAATAAAATAAAAATACATGTAATACTTGCAGCTAATAATTTGATTTGCCCGTATGGCGGCAAAATTGAATTTGTTACTGATAGAGGTCATCAAAATAATATCTTGTTCGTCATCAGGTAATGTTATGCGCTCATTAATTAATCCTTCTACCGGTCTGTTTAATAATTCATTAACGTGGTTTATTTTTGCCTCACAACTTATGTACAGTTTTGAGTTGATCATTGGATTTTTAAAGAAATAATATATTGTCTCACCGAGTTTAGATGGACATTTTTTTTTGTTAAGGTCCATCCAACATCTAACGTCATAATTGCAATTCTCGGAATAGGGTTTCCATCTTAGCTGAAACCGAATATATAGAATTAATGTTTGTAACATATTCACTTTTTCTACATAATAGACAACAGTTATTAATAAATCGCATCATTCAAGTTTTATTTTTTGTTTGCAATTATTGTATTTATATGTTAGTATATATATTTTTACAGTATATTTTACTATATATTTAACATGAAAAAAGCCAAAATTATAGATTTTTCGTATAAGAAAAATTTCTAAAATTGAAGAAGCTATTGTTACAAAAATTGGTCACTGACAAATTTAAATTGTGACAAGGCGTTGAATTTTAATTTTGCTAAAACATTTTCTGTCAATGCAATAAAACTTTTAATAATCATTCAGATTGACGGTGTTTACATAATATATTTTATATGGCGGAATATATCATACAATGCAACAATGCGTCAAGAATATTTACCCTTCTGTCTGTTCTATAAAAATAATAGTTAATAAAATCTGTTTTGCTGATGATATCCTCGTATTCTGGTCCTGAACAAAGAATCATTTTTAGGCGCTCCGAAATTTCACCTTTAATCAGGAAAAATGTCAGAAAAAGTGCATCATATAGGCAAGCCGGACTGAACACGAAACTTCTATTCTGATTAGCATTCATAATCTTATGCAAACACTCCATCGCAAAAACTAAACGTCCTTTCTTCATTGTTTCTTCTAGTTAATAGAATAGATACAGAATAAATAATAAACTTAAGAAAAAAATTAATATTAAGTATAGCTATAGTAATTTAATTATAATAATTTGCAATAAAAAATATAAATGAATATCTTAAATTAACAATTTAAAATATTTATTTATATTATTTATTGTAATTTACTACAATTAAATATTTTTAATTAAACATATGTTAAAATTAAAAGCGTAATGTACTGATACATTTTGGATAATTAATTTAAACGCATAAAATAAAATTTTATTACAATATAACTCACACTTAAGTTTAAAATCACAAAACAACAAAATCAATAATGTATATGTGAAGACACCCGAGACTATAAAAAATTAGTAAAATAACTAATGTACTGTTATCAATATTTATTAACAATGCTACGTTTGAACGTCGGTCAACATGACAAATAGAGAACCGGCAATTATATTTTAAAAAATTGTTATTATACAAAACTTAAGTCGAGATCGACGAATTTTATTATTCAAAAAACTTTAATATTTAACTATTGTAGGTGGTGTCAGGATAGTTTTAGATGATGTCAGGGCGTAATTCTAATAAGGCTTCTAGTGGATCTTAACAAAGGATCTTTATTAGGTTAAACTGTACTCGATAGAACACGCACGACGGCTCACTGCCGTATATCTGTCCAACCGCTTTCTCTTTCCGCGGGGAACTGACCTTCTTAACCTTCTCCTTTCTTTCTTACAGCGCCGCCAGCGGCAGAGGGGGGGGGAGAGGAAACGTAATTCGCCGCTCACGCGTGTATATAAATGAATATCGGTAGAATAATAATTCGCCTACAGTCGGCCAGCCTGACATTACGACCGTCTCGGTCGTACGTATAGGAACAAAACGTATTAAGTAAATATATCCAAGATATACAATTTCCGTTCGAACAAAGAAACATTTATCGAGTCTAAACTGCAACCGGTATCGTCGCGCTATTTCAAATACATCTTTTAAAATATTTAGGTGTTCCTCTATACTTTCAGTCGCTATCAAAATATCATCTAGATATAACAAGATATTACTCTCTCGGATGAGTTTATCAAAGACTTTGTTGACGAATCTCTGGAACACTCGTGGAGCATTAGTCAACCCGAACGGCATTCGTAGGAATTCAAATTGTCCGATAGGCGTCACAAACGAGGTGTATTTTACCGAACACTCAGACATCTTAATATGATAAAATCCGTTCCTTAAGTCGAGACTACTAAAATATTTTTTTCCTTTTAACCGATCAATATGATCATCTATCAACGGTGTGGGAAAATTGTCTTTCACAGTAATCTTATTTATTTCACGGAAGTCGACACACAGTCGTGACTCGCCATTTTTCTTCCGCACGAGAACGATTGGGCTAGCGTAGGGTGAATTACTCTGCCTAATTGTACCTGTTTTCAATAAGTCGTCTAATATTACTTGCAACTTTTCTTTATCGGCATACGTTAAACGCCTAGGCCGGAAGGTAATCGGCTGTTCATTTTTTAATAAAATTTTCATCTCGGTTTCCGGTTCGCTCACATCTGAATCCCATTTATCAACGTATTCTTTGTTATACAATCTTCGAACGCTTTCGACTACATGCGATTCGACACCGGGATTAATATTCAATTCTTCTCCAACTTTTACAGGATTTTTGAGATATTCTATTTGCATAATCTCGGTATCAAAATTGTTCTCGCTTGTCGACTCGTTTCTCCTAGTAATCTTTACCGTTTTACCTAGTTCGATTTTTATTAACGGATCTCGACAAAAATCGCGACCAAGTAATGCCGCACACGACATTGTTTCGTTCGGTACTACCAGAAAACGTAGCTGAATATTAATTCTTTCGATTTCGACTAATTTCGAAAAGGTGCCTACTACGCGAACAGGGGATTTATTTACTCCACAGAAACAATCGCTGTTAGGAGGTAGCGGTTCGCGCAAACTCGTCGGAACATACTCAGTTTTTATGAGGCTCACTGGGGAGCCGGGATCAACTATCGCGTCTACTGTATATTCACGATCCATATCCCCTTCAAAGGACACCGAAAACTTTAACTGTACACAATACGGATCGCTAACGGATATCGGTTCGATCAAGTTCACAACGTTCGTCGACTCGGGTTTCGACTCTTTCTCGGGACAGTCTTTTTTCAAGTGGCTGGCTGAACCACATCGATGACAGCCTCCCTTAACTTTCTTCGGGTGTGAACATGCGGATGCCAGATGTCCAACTCCCTGGCAGTTATAACATTTAATTATCTTTCGGCGTGGTGCCAAATCTGCACTCGACGATGCTGGATTTCCTTTAAACGCTGAACTCTCCTTCGTCGACAATTTCCCATCCTTTTGGATTTTTCCTTGATCAATAGGTTTCTTCCATTCGCGATCAGGGAACTTCTTCGGGTGTAGCGTCAATCCTTTAAATGCCTCCAATAAATCCGACTGAGACTCGAACTGCATAATACGTGCTTGATCTCTGAGATTGCGATCAGGTATACCCTCGATGACATAATCGACAACTTCGTCATCTACTATCGGTACCCTATTAGCGAGGATTATTTTATCATGGAAGTAACTCGTGAATGATTCGTCCGTCCGCCATGCTCTCTCTTCGAGCTTCTTGCGTAGGGACAATCTTGATTGACGAAGGTCGAACATTCCCTTCATGGCCGCCAATAGATTTTCTATACCAAGGGTAAGATGATGTGGTTTGGAGTGAAACCACTCGGATGCACGTCCTTTTAATTTGGAGCTTATTAAAATTCTTGTCGCAGCATCATCCAAGGCGTACGACACTCGCAGCAATTGTACCTGCTGTTCCCATTTCCAGAACGTACCCTCACTGCCGTCGAATTCGCTCAACAAGTCGCGAATAGCCCTTACACTTTCGCTCATCGGTGGACCATTACGTCTTCTTCCGCCATCATTCATCTGCGGTGCTCCATGATCTTCGATGTTCTCTCGTCTAACGATATCTAATTCACGTTGAAGAAGAGCTCGTTCTCTTCTAAGTAGTTCATTTTCTCGTCGAATCAAGTCATTCTCAGTCAAAGGACCTTCAACGGATGCGTCGTTACTTACTTGGCTTTCATTGTCCTTGCCCGCGACGGCATCCCTCGATTCATGGCCCGCGTCAATCGGCTGATCGACACCGCGGCTCTGCCGTGACCTCTGTTCATCCAGTGTGGTCCATATCTCCGGGTCATTGGCAGTCAATCGATCTATCAGGTCAGCTTTGTTACCGGTCGCCGGCAATTTCTTCTCGCGGAGAATGTCCTTAATCTCGGCAAGCGTATACGCACTCGGCGGTCTCGCCATTGTTAGTGACACACTGCACCTCCCTTTTCTATACGTCCTAGCACACAGCGACGTGTTAATAAATGTTTAACCTCAGTCTAAATGTTCGCGACACACGTCGGCACAATTAGCACACAGCAAAGATTCGCGGTACACAGCGCGAATTACCGTCAAAATATTCGCGACACACAGCGCGGAATATTCTATCTCACAAGGATATCGCGTTACACGTCGATTCACCGCGCGCGATACGTGGACTCGCTTTCTCTCGTACGCGGCGGAACAATTAGCACGCAGCAAAGATTCGCGGCACACAGCGCGAATTACCGTCAAAATATTCGTGGCACACAGCGCGGAATATTCGGTCTTTCAGCACGCAGCAAAGATTCGCGGCACACAGCGCGAATAACCTTCAAAATATTCGTGGCACACAGCGCGGAATATTCTGTCTTTTTGCACGCAGCAAAGATTCGCGGCACACAGCGCGAATAACCATCAAAATATTCGTGGCACACAGCGCGGAATATTCTGTCTTTTTGCACGCAGCAAAGATTCGCGGCACACAGCGCGAATAACCATCAAAATATTCGTGGCACACAGCGCGGAATATTCTGTCTTTTTGCACGCAGCAAAGATTCGCGGCACACAGCGCGAATAACCTTCAAAATATTCGTGGCACACAGCGCGGAATATTCGGTCTTTCAGCACGCAGCAAAGATTCGCGGCACACAGCGCGAATAACCGTCAAAATATTCGTGGCACACAGCGCGGAATATTCTGTCTTTTAGCACGCAGCAAAGATTCGCGGCACACAGCGCGAATAACCATCAAAATATTCGTGGCACACAGCGCGGAATATTCTGTCTTTTTGCACGCAGCAAAGATTCGCGGCACACAGCGCGAATAACCTTCAAAATATTCGTGGCACACAGCGCGGAATATTCGGTCTTTCAGCACGCAGCAAAGATTCGCGGCACACAGCGCGAATAACCGTCAAAATATTCGTGGCACACAGCGCGGAATATTCTGTCTTTTAGCACGCAGCAAAGATTCGCGGCACACAGCGCGAATAACCATCAAAATATTCGTGGCACACAGCGCGGAATATTCTGTCTTTTTGCACGCAGCAAAGATTCGCGGCACACAGCGCGAATAACCTTCAAAATATTCGTGGCACACAGCGCGGAATATTCTGTCTTTTAGCACGCAGCAAAGATTCGCGGCACACAGCGCGAATAACCGTCAAAATATTCGTGGCACACAGCGCGGAATATTCTGTCTTTTAGCACGCAGCAAAGATTCGCGGCACACAGCGCGAATAACCTTCAAAATATTCGTGGCACACAGCGCGGAATATTCTGTCTTTTGCACGCAGCAAAGATTCGCGGCACACAGCGCGAATAACCATCAAAATATTCGTGGCACACAGCGCGGAATATTCTGTCTTTTTGCACGAGTAACACAAGACACGGTTTTCTCTGCATCGACCACAACACTTGGTCGTACTTTTCAAAGTCCCGTGTATTAACCTCACAGATCCTTCGCTAACTTCTTCTTTGATCCCACTTCTGAAGTTGTAGGTGGTGTCAGGATAGTTTTAGATGATGTCAGGGCGTAATTCTAATAAGGCTTCTAGTGGATCTTAACAAAGGATCTTTATTAGGTTAAACTGTACTCGATAGGACACGCACGACGGCTCACTGCCGTATATCTGTCCAACCGCTCTCCCTTTCCGCGGGGAACTGACCTTCTTAACCTTCTCCCTTCTTTTTTACGCAGCGCCGCCAGGGGGGGAGAGGAAACGTAATTCGCCGCTCACGCGTGTATATAAATGAATATCGGTAGAATAATAATTCGCCTACAATATATATTATATATATATATGATACGTAAAGTAAGTAAACCTAAAATAAAAATATAGCATGCCCACAGCTAATTCTTTGATTATCAATAAGGGTCCAATAACTTGGAGTATCAGCTTCAGCAAGTATTGAATATTCATATTAATAGCTGTCATCAAAACAAATTCGGTATCTTGTCTGACGGATAAGCTCGAGCGATTATGAATATAATCATCCACTGCTTGCTTTAATACTTTATTATTAATATAACTTATTAAATGCTCAGAATTTCTGGGCACACAAATTTGAGACTGATGTGTGCATAAAATTATATAATGTATTTTGTAAACTTATATTAGGTTTAAGAAAACATTTAACGTCTTCTTCATAATGGTAGGGATAAGCCGTATATGTTCATTATGAAATTCAAAATATCCAATTAATGTTTATTTTTTAATTAATTATTTCAATTAGACATAATTGCAATTAATTTTTTCATATAATCAAAATTTTTAATTAATTATTTTGATTAATAAAAAATTCTATTACTTTTTCAATTAATTATTTTAATTAATCAATATTTATTTGATTATTTTATTTAATAAATATTTAATTCATTATTATAATTTCAATTAATTTTTGTCATAGAATTGACAAAAATTAAACTTTTGAATTAAACTTGTGTGTATATCTATAAAACGCTATACGATTTGTTAAATTATAGTTGAAGCAGATTTAAAACAAAATCAGTTACTTAATCTAATTCCAAGACTTGTCAAATCATAGCCATTAAATTATATCGCAGTTTAAAAATTTTTTAGGCGAACGCAACAATATTTAAAATAATTAGTAAAGGAAAAACATTTTGATAACAAGATATATTTTAGATTATTATTTTTTTGATAAATTAAATTAATAATTACATAATTTTTAACAATAGTTATTGAACTTACCAAACATTTTTGCCGATTCGTCATTCATAACGTTTTCTATCCTGTATTAGTTATGAAGTAGCAAAAGTAAGGACAAAAGTGTACTATGAAATTCTCAAATTTTATTTAACAGCTTTTATCGTAATATTTAGCAATTGGAGTCTAACTCGCGTATTGTTAATTAGAGTTACTGTAGGATGTAATATTTGAAGTGGTAATTGAGGGAAATATAAGATTTTTTGTCTCCTCTTGCTATACTTTTTCTCGCTCGCCTAAGATGTTGTAATATAATTTTTAAATCTTAATCCGTTGTCTCGGTGAATGCTTTATAAACTAAAGATGTTTATTCTAGTAGAATCATAATATATACACTCAAATACAAACACACTCATATACCGATACACATAAAGAAAACGTGAAAACATATCATTTGATATTAATGTCAATAATTCAAAATTTATTTATAATTACATAAATATACATTATCTCAGAATTATTAAATACAAAAAAATATGTAGACACGTAGACACATATATATAGCGTAATAAGTTAAAATTTGATCAATTCTGTTAATGTTGGACAATAGAAAAGAATATATAAATAGAATAATTAAAAAAAAATTAATTAATTGTAATTACATTGAGCTGTAACAACATTACAACAAAATAAAAATAGAGTCAAAGACATTGCATATTTGAAAAAGATATATATATATATATATATCTTCTTTTCTATAAAATTTTAGCACAATTAACATTCTTAGAATATTGTAATATTTAATGATGTACATAATAACATATAATGTAAATTTCGAATATATGAACAATTGTTTCGTTTCTAAATAATCTACCATAGAATACGAATAAAATAATGTAATAAAATATCTGATCAAAATAATATATATATGTATATATATATATATATATATATATATATATATATATATATATATATATAGGTACATGTATGTATATGTATTATTTCGATTATTTGTTTCTATATATATATATATATATACATGTACAAGTATAGTACATATAAATATATAAGAATATTTTATGTCCCTATCAGTAAATTCGAAGTGCACAAAATTATAAAACAGTAAAATTATAAGATAAATTAATGAAAATTAACATATCTATACACTATATATATATGTACATATGTATAAATATTTTTAAAACAACTTTAAAAAAGACGAGCATTTTTTTAGTTTTAGAAATTTATCAATTTAATGCAATTACACATTAAATTCAAATGACCAAAAAATTATTTTATTGGCCTCCCAATTTTTAGCAGAAGTTGATCATAGAATATATTACGTACGAAATATAATGCATGTCAATTCAAATAATCAAAATGTTGAATCCTATATGACATCTTCCATAATTACACATCATTATGCAATAATTACTGATCTGTTACATCAATCGTTTCATAGTGTAAAACTGATTTGTGTAATTCTAAACTTAATTTTTATCAGGAAAACCGAACTCGTTTTTACATCATAAATCACATGAACTATTTTGCCTTCAACTAAGGATCGGGTTTGTAATTTAATAATATTAATTAATATTAATACTAACAAAAATATATTATTATTAATTAATAATTAATTAAATATTAATAAATATTATTGATAATTAATAATTTAATATTAATAAATATTATTAATTAATAATCAATAATATGATTTAAAAAATTAATAAACATTCTTGAAGATTCTATTTTTTTTTCAAATCCTGAATTTCCAAAATGTTTTCAAGAAGTCTCGACAAGCCTCGGCTTTTTCATTGGCGGACTGTCTGATGGACCTGCGTCATCCTTCGGTACAATTTTAGAATTCGTCCTGTTACTGTTACAAGAACCGACAGAAAGGATTTCTTCTTGAAGCGCGTCATAAATCAACCAGACAAACTGACTATTGCGATTTACGTTAACCACTTCCGGGTGCGGACCGGATTCTTTTCCGGTGAGGATCATAGTTATCGCGCCTACGATCATCATCCCATTTGTGACCTTGACACGAGAACGGTGCACAACATTGCCGAAGCATAAGGAGAGGCTGTCCCGTTTGTTTCCGCAAAAATCTAGACAAAAATTGGTGGTTTCCATCAATTCTTCGATATCTAACGCTTTCAGCAGATCTTTTATTGTCAAATTTCTCTCCATATCGAAAGGCGAAAAAACCGAGACGTCTGTAACATTTTCAACGTGTGATTTTCTACTATATTTTAGCAGATTGCGCAATTCGTCGATTCCATTGCTCGTCGATAATCGTTTGGTCAATTCGAAAAGGTCGTCGCTGCTAATGTTCTCTTTTATCCTCCACTTATCTGAATATTCTCCATCGAACGAAGCAGGTGAAAACACAAACAGCGACATATCGCCATTCTGGAAGGGTATGTCGCTCACGTGCATGCTCAATTTCTTATGATAGTCTTAAAAAAAAAAACAGTATTAAAATATAAAAAATTACATAAAATTGTTAAGAAAGATGAAACCAGAAAAACATGCATTTTTATAAATTTATAATATTTAATAGTCTTAATGGAAATGTTCACTTTCTGAAATTTTTTTACGTAAAATCTAAATGTTTGGCAATTAAAAATAGAATAATTGGTGAAAATCAAAATTACACTTTTAATTTCGAAAAAAAACATTTAATTATAAATTTATTTATTTTAAAATTTATTTTTTTATATTTAATTTTTCAATTCAAAGTTCACTTTCTCATTAATGTATTAGGGTACAAACTGGGTGTCTTTGACAAATACCAACGCGACAAATTTCTTATAGCCACTGCTAATAAGCATCAAACATCTTATTTTCATTATATATTTTTTACTTTTTATTATATATTTTTTAAATATTAATATATTTTTATTATATATATTTTAATATATAATTTATCGTATATTTTTCACTTTTTATTATATATATGTTTTAAATATTATACATATATTTTCATTATACATATATATTGTATATATTTCATTATATATTTTAAATTTTTATTGGGTACCCGAAGACAAATTTATTGAAAATTAATTTTAGGCGGTGTTTCTTTTACAAAACACAATATGCTTTATTTAGGAATAATAAAAAAAATTATATTATGAGAAGGTTTATATTATGTAAGTTTAAAAAATAAAAATATGGCGTACTCACAGTTTATGATTAAACGGTTTCTAATTGGTACGATAGCTTGAGGAACCAATGAATTTTGGAATTCGCAACAGACACAGGTCACCAAAAGAATATCATTAACTTGTTTACACTTGGATAATCCCACGAATAGTAAAAGCATCTCTTTCTTACCGCTCTGCCTATTAATTTATTAATGTAATTTACTTTCAATTCAGAAAATTTATTCGTATTTAAATAATTGATTGGTCCATAAATAAAATGAGATAGTGCACTCTCTGCTTCTGAATCATTCATTACATATTTCAACCAACACATGATGTTATGAGTGCAATACAAATGTTCCGGATAAACCACGAATTTTATCTGAAACCAAAAATATCAAATGAAAAATAAAATTTCCATACCATATTCCTAGGCATCAAACACTATCATTTATAAAAATTGCTTCAAATTATTATTGGTGCAAATATTATTTTCATATGTGCCTATATTCTTTAAATTTATAAAGTTACTTCATTTCAAGGAATCAAAATAAAAAAAGTCAAAATACAAGATTTTTCGATACAAAAGATTTTGACTAAAAGATCTATCATTTAAAACTAATTGCTGAGAAAAATTTTTGATTGTGACAAAGCTTCGAACTTTAATTTCGGAAAAAAATTTATTATTCTCAACGCTATTAACCCTTTATTAATCTTTCAGATTGGCAGAGTTTACATAATTGTTTTTACATTTTATTTTATACATAAACAGCAAATTTAGCTTTTTTCCATAATGAAATGTATTATCTAATGCAAAAATGCGATAGGAATGTTTACAGTCGACTCCTTTTTACAAATGCAGTAATTGATCAAATCTGCTTTGCTGATCCCGTTTAAAGAAAGAATAGTTATGAGACGATTCGTTATTTCTCCTGTAATCAATATATTTGTTAGGAAAAGACCCTCATATATGGAAAGTGGACTAAAGACAAAATTTTTATCCGGATTGACTTTCATAACTTCATGGAGACATTTGATCGCGAAATTGAAACGCCCATCCTTTAGTTGAGTTTCTAGGAAAAAATAGATAAATAAGTAAAAGGTCAAATTCAGAAAAAAAACGTAAAAAATAGCTAAGATAATTTAATTATAATAAATCACAACATTTTTATATGAAATTATTACATCAATTAACAATACATATAATTAAATACGCAATAAAGTCAACAGCATGTAATATATTAAAAATTAATCGACAATTATTTTCAACGCGCATAGCTAAATTCTATTATAACTCATATTTAATATAAACATATAACTGAATCAACAATAACTATATAAGAACACTCAAAGCAATAAAAAAAGAAAAATAACTTAAAAAATGTGTTTAACAATATGACTATGGTTTGAACACCGTTCCTTTAATAACGAATTTTACTTACATTTAAAAAGTTTATGCAAAACTTAAAATCTATTAATTTTATTATTAATAAATCTTGAAAGAAATATTTAATGATAAATAATAAAGAAATTACATTCTACAGTGATTATATCTAAAATTCTAATGAACTTTTCTTCTTTCCTGAAAGCTGACTTATTGTTAGTCATATTTTAAACTTCAATTTATTCTGAAATATATATATAACGTTTTACAATTTCCTAAATTATAATCGATGCAGATTTAGAAAAAAATTATGGTTAGTCAACCTAATTGCAAGACTTGTTGTAACAGCAAGCCATAGTTATTAAATTACAAAGAAATACCAATTCTTAAGTTTCTTCAACAATATATAAAATAATAAATAAAAGCAGTAACGTTTTTATATTACTTTATACTTTAGATTCTTAACTTCTCGATAAATCAACTCGATAAATATATGATTTCATAGAATAATATTTAAACTTACCAATTTCTCTTGCTCTCTCTTCACTCATTACCATTTTTAATCCTTTTTTGTTATAAAATAAAAAATCAATTAAATTAGAAAATAAATAAAAAAAAAGTAATAAAAAAATTAGAAAATAAAAAATAAAAAATAAAAAACAATTAGAAATAAATAAAAAATAAAAACAAAACAAAAATTAAAAATAATAAAAGAACAAAAAAATTATAAGTATAAAAATAAGCTTGTAAAAGTTGGAAATAATCACACATAAATAAAGTCTGTTGTTTATTATATAATTTTTCTTATTTAAATTTATTGTTATCATACATATTTAGCGCTATATAATTTACAAAAATTTCAGATTTTTGAATTCAAAAAATTTTTTTAATTATAATTATTATTATTAATTCTACAATTTACAAGAGCAGTCGGGAGACGCCGCGCGTCTAAAAACTGTAACGTCCGTTGAGTATCGATATTTGTGTTTGTGTCTATTTATTACATAAAACGTGCGCGTGCGTATATGTCTCAAATTTAGCGCGGCGTCTCCCGACTGCTCTTGTAAATTGTAGAATTAATAATAATAATTATAATTAAAAAAATTTTTTGAATTCAAAAATCTGAAATTTTTGTAAATTATATAGCGCTAAATATGTATGATAACAATAAATTTAAATAAGAAAAATTATATAATAAACAACAGACTTTATTTATGTGTGATTATTTCCAACTTTTACAAGCTTATTTTTTATACTTATAATTTTTTGTTCTTTTATTATTTTTAATTTTTGTTTTGTTTTTTATTTTTTATTTATTTCTAATGTTTTTTATTTTTTATTTTTTATTTTCTAATTTTTTATTATTTTTTTTTATTTATTTTCTAATTTAAACATTATTTTTTAATTTAAACATTAAAACTTTGTTGGCAGCAGTCGGGAGTTTTTTTTTTGTAAAAAATTTTATTATTATTTTCTAATTTTTTTATTTTCTAATTTATTTTTTATTTTCTAATTTTTTTTTTTCTAATTTATTTTTATTATTTATTTTCTAATTGTTTTTTATTTTTTTTTTTTTTTTTTAATTGTTTTTTATTTTTTATTTTTTTTTTTTTTTTTTTTTATTTTTTTTTTTTTTTATTTTCTAATTTATTGCTGTTCTTATGCTGTTTCTTCATTCTTTTGTCTCTCTGCTTCTTCATCCTACACATGTAAAAGTTTTTATTATGTAATATATATATTACAATGTATATAATATAATAATAATAATAATAAAGACACACATACACTCACCATGTGACTGCAATGTTCTATATTCTTTCCAAATATTTTTCTGCTACAATTTTTTTAATTAATATAATATAATATAAATAGAGAGATAAATAAAAAAAAATAGCTAGATAGATAGATTGATAGATAGAGAGAGACAGATGACAAAGACAGATGACAACAATATCTTATATCAAATACGTAAACTTGTACGCAGTTATAATTATGGCTTTGACAAATATATTAACTTTCTTATGGCTATATAAGTTTATACATTATGTAATCACAAGTAAGTTTATATATTTGTATAGCCTTAATTATTATTACATATGTGAATAATCTTTTGTAGTAGATAATTGGCTATGTAAGTTAATATATTTGTCTGCATTGCCATAATTATTGGTGCGCTAATATCTTTGTATAACTATAAATATATTTGTATACATATTTTTAATTAATTATATAATTATTATATAATATACAAATAAGAGAAAAAATAACTATATACATTTATACAATTATATATGTGGATATTTATAGCAATGTGGCTACGTAGCAAATTTAATAGCAAATAAGTGGCTACGCAGACAAATATAAATTCATATAGCCATGTTATGACTACAACAGATTAATTATATTATTAATTATATTATATATTTTTATTAATTATTAATAACAAGACTTACTCGTTTTCTATTATTAATAATGTTTTCTTCTTCAGATATCTTCAAGCGAGTATCTTCTTCCTACATATAAATAAAGAAACAATAAATAAATAATAATAACAATATTCTAAATAAAGAAAAAAACAATAAATATAAAAGAAGAAACTTACTCCTTTATTTATATCTTCTTGAGATATATCCATAATAATACACTTCACTTAATATTGTTGTTGACAATAACACGCAACAGGTGACAGCTAACCTATCCTATCAGTCCCGTCATTATTACTTCGAGATGTATATACCAATGTCACCAACATTCCCTATCCGGATACTACAACGAATCTCATTGGTGAATCATTTTTCCTCTTAGGTTCACACAGCAGCCAATGAGAGACCGTATTGACGAAATAATACTCATTTTTCACTTTTTATTAATAGAATAAATAACGATAATAATACGCTTTAAACCTTCCTTGATTAATAAGAAACTTATGTTCCAAAGTTGATATAAAACTATGCAGTAGTTATCGAGAATTAAGGTCACGACCGATCCGGGCTCGATGAAACGCATACTTCCTCTCTTTTCGCCAACCTACGGTTGGCAGCAGTCGGGAGAAAAACAAAAGTGTGTGCCACAAAATTTGCAAATTTTATTTAACAGTTTCAATCGCAATATTATTTAGCAATTGCAGTTTCATTCAAGTATTGCTAATTAGAGTTGCTATATAATGTAATATTTGCAATGGTATTTGAGGCAAATGTAAGATTGTTTTTCTCTTTTAGGTATAAATACTTTCTCTTTCGCCTAAGATTTTGTAATATAATTTTCAAATTTTAATCCGTGCTTTCCCTCGATTTCTCGTAGACTAAAGATAATCTATCAAAACAATAACATATATACAAGAATACAAACAAATTTACTCACGGATATACTTAAACAGAACATCAAAACATATAATTTAATTTAATGCCAAAAATTGAAAATTTATTTATAATTATATAGTGTCACATCTCACATTACGTAATACAGTTATAAGAATATATAGTAATAGGTAGACATACATATATATATATATATATACTATATATATATATATATATATGTATATATGTATACATATATAGCGTACATCTAATGTAAAAGAATAAAAATTCATCGATTCTGTTGATGTTGGACAATTAAAAAGGATCTAAATAATATTTTACAAAAAAATTATAATGCACAGAACGCTATACAATTTTATAACATGATTAAAATGGAGTTAATGACATCGCATTGATACACATATTTGAGAAAGAAACATTTATTTATATTTCTTTTTATTAAAATGAATAGAATCATTAATTAATTTGGCTATGAGAGCACAGCCTATATTCTTTCTATTAAGTTCTGATAGGATAATTAAAATGCTTACAATTTTATAAGCAATATTAAAATATGAACACAATGATACATATAAGTATTGTTAAATATCGAAATAAACAATTTTTTCGTTTATAAATTGTTTTAGCATAGAATACGAATAAATTGATTTAATGGAATATATGACAGAAACAATATACATAGATGCATATACGTACATACAAACATTCATACACAAGTGCTTAAATTATGATGTATAAATATTTATATATACTTACATAAAATATACTTATATAAAAATGTCTTTATATGTATGTGCATATGTGTGTATATATGTATACATATATGTATGTGTACCTTAAGGAACGTATTTTAAATAATTTATCAGAACTTATAAAATATACATTATTGTTACCTGATAATATCATATTTTTTATACAACTTTTAAAAATTTGAGCAATCTTCTATTTAGTTTCAGAAATTTATAAATTTCACACATGTGCAAGCATTAAATTCAAATAACCAAAAGATTATATCATTAATCTCCAAATTGTTAGCAGAAATTGTTCATAAAATATGTTGCGCACAAAATATAATGCATGTCAATTTGAATCATCAAAATGTTGAATCATAAGAAGAAATAAAAACTTATCACATAATTACATATCATTATGCAGCAACTACAGATTTGTTATATAATTCGTTTTTCATAGTGCATAATAGATTTACGAAATTCTAAACTTATAATCTATGTTAAGAATGCCAAACTTGTTTTTACATTTTACCCCATAAACTATTTCGCATTAAACTGCGATGGTCGGATATTCAATATTTAAAAAATTAATAAAAAAACCATTTTTAAACACCTACTTTTTTGAAAGGATTTGTTTCTCAATCTAGAATTTCCAAAAGATTTTTAAATCTAGGCGAGCCGTTGCTTTTTCGTTGGCGGAACGCCTGATGGACCTGACTGATATATATCTATCGGTACAATTTGAGAATTTGGGCAGGTACTATTATTAAAGCTGCCGACACAGAGGATTTCTTCTTGCAGTCTGTCATAGATCAGCCAGACGAAAGGTATATTACACCATTTAACGTCTTCTATTTTGCCATCCGGAGAGGCGTCTCCACCGGAATGGATCAAAGTCACTGCGCCTAGAATCACATCATCTCTTGTGGCTCTTATGTGAGAACGGTGCGCAACATTGTTGATGTGCACCTTGGGACAATTAATTTTCAACGGTAGGCATTTTCGGCATTTAGTTTGCAATTCGAGCATTTCGGACGTTATCAATTCTTCGACGCCTAATGATTTTAATAGATCACGGACTGGCACATTTTTCTCCACCTCGAAAGATAAACAAACATTTTGGGAACATGTAAATTCTTTTATGACAAACTTCAATGTTCTACTGTTTCTTAACAGCTCGCGCAAGTTGTTCATTCCTTCGTCGGTCGACATTCGTTGGGTCAAATAGAGAAGATCATTCCTGTTGATGTTCTCAATGATCTTCCATTTACCTGAGCTTAACGCTGCAGGTAGGAACGTAAATAACGAAATGTTGGCATTGTTATAGGGTATGTCCATCACATACATGCTCAGTCCTTCATGGTAGTCTAAAAAAAAACGTTAAGCTTATACTGAAAAAAATATTTGTGTAAAATTACTGGATCATGTTGGTCTTTTTCCGACCCAGCATAATCATGCAATACTACTAGTCATATAGAAAATTTAATATGTTTTTTGTTATATAAATATATTATTATATATATTAACAGATTACTTTTGGATATAAATCCGAAAGCAATACTTATTAAAAATAAAAGTAAACGATATTCTCTCTACATAACGTTCTGTTTAAAATTCAATTAAAAATTACATTATGAAAAATTTGTTACATATGTTATATAATAAAATAAATAAATGGCGTGCAATTACAGTTTATAACTTCATTGTTTCTAATAGTCGATATATTTGGTGCGTCAGTTTGATGGAACGATAGTTTACGGAATATGCCACTCATAAAGCTCATCAAAATAAAATCGTTTCCAGTAAATGTCATTTCGGCTAATCCTCAGGATAATAAATGTATCCCTTCGTTTGGTTTACGATTTGTCTTAAAACGGAATTCACTTCGTCCATATTGTCATCAGAATCAAGGAGCAAATCTAAAGAATTGATTTCTGAGCCAAACATATGCAGTACTGCTTTATCATAAAATTTTATATCATGTTTACACCAACATTTAACGTAACAATCGCAAGAAGGGTCAGGAAGATCTTTTTGTTTTTTTATTATTTTACTCCATTGTTCCTGGAATCGAAAATATCAAATAAATTGTTTATAAAATATTCATTTTCTTCTAGATAACAGACATCAATTATTTATAAATTGTTTTATTCAAGCTTTTATTTTTGCAAACACATATTAAATGTGGTTATATTCTTAATATAAAATTAGACAAGAAAATAAATCAAAATTATATGGAGATGTTTTGCTGACAAACATTTCTGAATTTTATCAAAAATCTGTCATTTAAAAAACTGCTTACTGACAAATGTGAGCTTTAACAAAGCATATTGAATTTCAATTTTGCTAAAAATGTGTTTTTTGTCATCGCAATTAACCCGTTATTAATATTTCAGAACAGCGGCATTTTTGTTTCATATAACTATTTTTACATGTTATTTCATATACCGATTGTAAATTTTGACTTTTTTCCATTAAAGAATATATCATCAAATGTAAAATTTGATAAGTAGGTATATTTACTTATATTAACCTTTTTTTTGTTATAAGAACAATAATTTGTCAAATCTATTAGGTTGATGTTCTTTAAAGAAAGAATCTCGTTTAGACGCATTGCAATGCTACCTTTGATCAACATGTACATTCGTAAAAGTGCTTCATATATGCAAGACGGACTGAAGACAAAATTTGTATCCGAATTAATTTGCATAATTTCATTTAGACATTTAACGGCAAACTGAAAACGCCCCTCCTTTATTGTATTTTCTAGGAGGAACAGATTATAGATAAATAAGTTATTAAATATCAAATTCAAAAGGAAGAAATCTTAAGCACATCTAGTTATTTAATTAAAATATTAAATTACAATAAATATCGATAAAAACATTAACATTACGTACATGTAATTAAACGTATGTTAAAATCAAAGCATAATGTACGGATATTTCTCCTCCAGTTATTCTAAATTCTTCAATTAAAATTTTATTGCAACTCACATTTAATATTAAAATCAAAATACAATTACAGAATAATTTACATATAAAAACAACAAAACATTAATTAAACAATTTAAGAAAATAACTGATGTACATCTAAATATAAAGTACACTGTAATGATTATATCTAAAATTATAATTTTCTTTTTTTCTGTTGTAAAAGCCAACGAAATCATACTTTACTTTAAAATTAAATTTTATATATACATATATATATGTATATATATATATATATATATATATATATATATCACGCTATACGATTAGCTAATTGTAAGTATATCAAAATCGGCGAGTGGCACTTTGGTAGTGTTACTTGTAAGTTATATTTAAATTGACGTAATTTAGAAAAAAATTATGGTAGTCAATCTAATTGCAAGACCTAAATCAATTGCTATTAAACTCCTTAGAAATCTAAATTTTAAGACAACAATATATCACATAATAAATAAAAGAAATAACATTTTTACTACTTTTATATCATACGTTATTATCTTTTTAATAAATGAGCATATAATTTACATAATTTTATACAATAATCTTTAAACTTACCAATTTCCTTTGCCAATTTGGTATTCATATTGCTTGTATTTTTTAGTTATAAAATAGCAGAAACAGCGTCAAAGGTATGTACTACAAAGTTCGTAAAGTTTATGTAATAGCTATAAATAACAATATATTATTTAGTAATTGCAGTCTCGCTCTTGTTTTGTTAATTAGCGTTGCTATGGAATGTAGCTTCTGTAGCTGTTGTAGGATGGTAATTAAGACAAATGTAAAATTATTTTGTACTTTTTGTATACTTCCTTGCCTAAACATTTTTGTAATTTTCAAATCTGAAATTTACTCTCGCTCAATTCTTCGTATACTGAAGATAATAACTGTTCTGCAGAATCATAATATATACACACAGATAAGAAACGTATTCATACACATAAATCTATACGTAAACAAAATACAAAAATATAACATTACATTTAATATCAAAAATTCAAAATTTATGTGTAATTATATAAATCTTACTTCACTTCTTATGACACAATTGTGAAAATATGGATAAAGTAGTAGATAAATACACATACAATATACAATACCTGCAATATATGAGAAATTACTTTATAATTAAACCAATATATGTATGTATGTAACCAATATACGTATATAATTTTATACAATAATCTTTAAACTTAACAATTTATTTTGTCTTAACGTCACTCATCTCGTTTCCCATCCTGTTTAAATTATAAAATAGCAATAGCAAAGACAAAGTATGTGCTACAAAATTCGCAAATGCTAATTAGCAGCTTTGATCTTAATATTATTTAGCAATTGCCGTCTCGCTCGCTTATTGTTAATTAACCTTGCTATATTGCTTATAATTTTCACAATGATAATTGAGACACATGTGAGATTATTGTATCATTTTTATGTATCTTCTATCACTTGAGATTCTTTGAGATAGTTTTGAAATCCTTTCTTGTTCTATTCTTCGTAGACTGAAAATAACTGATTCATTAAAATCATAAAATGTATACACACGAACGCAAACACTCTCTTATACAGATACATATAAAAGAAAGACATCAACACCAATCATTTATTATTAATGTTTAATATTCAAAATTTATTTATAATTATATAAATATGTCATCTTACATTTCGTAATACGATTATAAATACATTATAAAAATATAGTGTAATAATAAAAAACACACATACATGTATATATATTATATACACCACACACATATATATACATATATATATATGTATATATATATATATATATATATATATTGATTAAATAAAAAAATGCACATAAGAATATAATTACATATAATATAATATATATATTATATATATATATATATATATATATATATACATATGCTATTACATACATGTATATATATATATATATATATATATAGTATATATATATATATAGCGTAAGGCAAAAAAATAAAGAAACCATCTATTCTGTTAATGGTGTTACATTCCGGTCTTACAATAAAAAATAATTTACATATAATTATACTAGTATAACAATATGCAAAATATGTCCATAAATAATAAGTTATAATTATATGTAATTATATTCTTATGTGCATTACTGTCTTAATTGTGCATTTTTTATTTAATTCAATATATTTGTACTCAATTTTTTTAACAATTACATAATGTTTATACTTTATCAGTTTGATTTCTCATATTAAAATCAAATTGATTAGCATAATTACACTTTTAATATATTTTATGCGTACTTTTTGTATACTACATATAATATTTAAAACTATATTTACATACAATATTATATATAGAACATTACGTAAAGAAATATTTATGTTATAGTATAATTATGTATAAAAAAGTCAATCAGCAATATATAAAATATATACAAAGTAATAAAATGATATATATATATATATAAATAATTATATATATAATTATATATATATACACGTTTTTTATATACTTTTTATATATTATACATTATGACAAATAATTACATACAAAAAAATTATTATCAGGATACACAATAAGTGTATAAATATAAAAAAATATTTATACAGATGTATAATAATATTTATAATATGAATATGTATGTACATATGTGTATCTTATATATTTTAGGGTTATAAAATATACATATGGTCACAAAATAATATCAATGCTTACTAATGTAAGTTATGCTTCATCGCCTTATAATGAGTAAGTTAAAAAGAACAAAACCATTTGCTCGGCACTATTACAAGTGCGACATAGAGAATTTCTTCTTGTAGTGTGTCATAGATCAGCAAGAGGAGGAAAGCCTTATTGTAATTTACGTGACTACTTCACTGTTTGCAGAGGAGTCTTCTTTCCTGTGCATCAAGATCATCGAGACTACATCACTTCCATTTTTGACATATCTACAATTTCAAATTTGGGTTTATCGATAGAATTTCAAGAGGACTCGTCGATCGCCGCTTTTTGCTTGGCGGGCAACCTGATGTACTTGGCATATCAGCCGATACAAGTTTAATAAAAGGTTCGGTATTATTACAACTGCCAACATAGAGAAGTCCTCATATTCTCGGTCACCGATCATCCAGATGACTGGATTATTGCAATTTATGTCGACAATATTGGAGTTCGAAGGAGGGTCTTCTCCTTTGCTGCTAATCATGTCGTCGCATGCACGACCACTTCTTCATTTGTAGCCTTAATGTGAGAACGATTGCACGGCATTGCGGATTTGCACACGGGGGTTATTCCCAAATAAAGTATCCAGTTCGATCATTTCGGACGGTAATAATGGTATATTTAATGTTTCGAAAAGCTCACGGATTGTCAGATCTTTCTCCAACTCGAAAGGCAAAGCATGCATAGAATCTACCAATACCGACTTGGTATGTAAGATTTTAACACATTGCGCAGTTCTCTGATTCCCTGCATGGTCGACAATCTTTGGGTGAAATTTGAAAGGTCAGCGGGCTGATGTTCTGAGTGATCCTCCAACCTGAAAATAAGTTTGTTAAAATAACAATA